AAAAGGAAGAAGATTTCAGCACCTGAAACCTGGTGCCTTGGAGACTAGGTCCTGACGTACCCAAAATAAACCAAAACAAAAGAATGACTCCTCCCTTCCCATCCCTTATCCACATCAAATAAAAAGACACCCCCCTCCCTGCCCTTTGAGAACATCCCCTGGTAAGTCTATGTGATGGGGAGACAGCGCCAGCATCCTTTTTCCCGGCCTGGGGTGGAGAAGCTTAAAGAACCACTCTTGCCCCTGAATGGGCAACATCTGCTACACGAGTTACCCACCACGTCCATCCTTCCCACCTCGGAGCCGCACGGTGGCACGGAGACAACTGCTGGGGACAGGCCAGGCAGAGGACCTCGCTCCTGCTGCATCAGCCCTTCAGCGGCACACGTGTCCTCTCGGACACCAAACCAAAGCTGACCCTCTGGACAGGCCTGCGCATCAGCCCAAAGGTCCACCTTGCTCTGGAGAAGCTGGGTAACTGCTTTGAATTTAAAAACGAGTTGACATTGTACAAGTCCATGTTCTGTAAAATGGAACAGGACCCTCTCGTCCCACCCCAACGCCCCCTGCCCCAGCGTTACTCAGGCTCACTGCTGTTGGTGGTCTTCTCCCACTCCAAGCTCTCCTCGCTCTGTGCGGGCGAGCCCGCAGACGGCCGTGCCCGGAGACCCTGAAACCTGCGGCACTCGGGGCACACGCGGATGTGCGTGCACCCTCGGGCGACCAGGGCGGCTTCTTGAGCCAGTCTTTGTGCCAGGGGATCTGGCTCTCCCCCACTGCACAGCTTCCCATTGCTGAGCGTGGTTGTGCTGCGGGCTCGGCGCTCCTCAGGGAGAACGGGGCGAGTCCGTATCATTCCCCCTCGCCTCCGATGAGGGTGGAAACTGTCCTTGCAGAGAATGATGTTGCGCAGCTCCGTCACCATTTCTTGGCACACCGACACCTGGAAGGCAGACCCGAGACATACTGCTCACATAAGTAAGCTGCAAGCCCAGCAGTGCTGCCTCTGCTCCGGATTCTGATAACAAAGTATTATGGACTCAGGCGTTAATCTGGCCACTGGCTTTCAACATCAATGCTCAGATATTTATGCTTGATTTAGCCCAATAGGTTCCACCTCTTATCAGAGACCCTCCTGTGTTCTGGCTCCCCAAATAAAAATGAGACCCAAACTTATTGCAGGTAGAAATCCTCAGGTAATCCTGCCTCCAGGAAAGGTACCTGGACCTTGTACACATCTTTGATCCTTTCAAAAGCCCTTGGAGCATCCCTACAGCCTCAATCTTATTAGGAATTCAGGAGAGGCTCATGCATTTCAGACCCTGGCCAATGGGCCTAGCCTTACCCTGTGTTTGAGGTCTCATTACTAGGAACACTCTTCTCAGCCTTACTAGCTCCAGAGCATTGCACTGCTGAGCACCCCGCAGGTAATAGTAAACACACAGTACCCCATCAGGACACTTTCAGGCCCTACCTCTGATTGTTCAGAGTGACGAAGGCTCCATAAAAATTCCAGCATGGCCATAAAAATTGCTACGATTAAGCCACAGATGAGCACCACAAAGATTCCACCGATATTCTCCATTCCCAGGCCTAAAATAAAGCAGAAGGGACAATGCTGTGGAGAGGCAAACACAACATAAATTGCAAGCATCTTTGCTGGCATTGCATATCCCCAGCCAGGGACCAAAACCACATAGGCAGCACTGTCCTATTAATAGCTAACCGCATGACTCAGATGGCAAACTGAATGACTTGCAATAACTGCACGATCGAAGATGCATTCTCAGAAATGATGATTTTGCAGATAAACAGCAAGTACATTGGTGGGAAGTACAAAGCAATTTGTGGACAAACCGAAAACAAGAGGAAAAATGAAAGATCAATCAGGCACAATTATTCACCCAGCTCTAGTTACTTTGAACTTCGCAAAGGAAGAGGAGCAGTGTTGTTAAAGAAGAGGAGATGAAGACGACAAGAAAGGGCTTTAAAGGAAGCTGGCATCAAGAAAAGCTCCTTTGATTGCATTTCAAAGTGCTGGTGAAAAATGATTACAGCTGCTTGTATTGCAGTAGCAAGGAGAGGTTCCAACACTGTTTCACACTGTATGGTGACCAAATGGGGTCCCTGGCACACAAGGATACCTGGCTGTGGGTTGTGTTCTCTCTGCCCATCACTCTCTGCCCCACAATGAGGAAACAGACCCTTTCATGGGGCTGGGGTGATGCAGCTCCAGAAAAATGGCTGTTCTCTCCTGTGCTTGTTGGGTTTGGGTCTCAAGTGGTCTGGCCCCCTGATTTAATTGATTACTGAAAAGTATGTGGTGCTTTGCAGTGAAGTGACTGTATGAGGCCATTACTCAACAAAAACATCTATGAAAGTCTTTGTCTCCCCTCTGTAGCAGTAAATCAAAGTGTAAGAATCAATGATTTATTGACTTAATCTCTGTGTGGCTTTTAGACATAGAATCTCACCAAAATCCTTGTAAATCGCTGACCTGTTTTGTTCTAAAACTTAGGAGGCCACATTTCTCCCTCCTCCTCCGTCATTCTTCTGGCACTGCCTCTGGAGCAATCTAGTGACTCTGTAAATCAGCCCATTGCAGAGCTGTTTCCAATAAGACAGCAATTGCAGGGCAGAAAACATAGCCCATATTCACAGTCTAGACCCAAGACAAAGACCATCCTCCCCACCCAGCAGCTATTAAATTGGAATTTAGGGCCAGTACCTCTCTCTCCATCCTTCTATAATTCTAACTGGGTGCCACATCAGACACCCCTTCACAGCTCACTGAGAGGAAGAAGGAAACCTTCTTCCATATACACCTAGCAGCAGGCTACAGCTTTCCTCATTTCCCAGACTGAGGAAGTGAACCACGACATAATACAGGAGGAAAACCTGTCCAAGGTCACAGAGCATAATGAGTAGTACCAGAAACAGCCTGGGACCCTACTTTCCAGCTACCCCCTTTCAAAGCTATCTCAAAACAGACTAGATTCCACTTCAGAGTTGGAACACCTCCACCTGCTGCAATGTCAAGCAAAGACAAGAGCTACCATGGACCAGGCTTGGCTCTCCATCTCTGTGCTCAGAAAGGTCAGAAGACTGTCCTTTCAATGGGGGGACCTGCTGGCCTCCCAGAAAAC